TGCTGCATTGGAGCCATTTTAAACAAATTCTTTAGTCCCCTGATTCATAAAGTCCCGCCTCTATTAAACCAAACAAATGTCTTAAGTTTGTTCTAAGGCGAAGTCATCCTACCAAAAATTTAATAATAAATTCAGAATGAGTTACTTATTTGAGAGGGAATTGTAAACTCAAGGAAATAAAGTGCAGCTGCATCGGTTCATTTTTTGTAAAAATGCAGTTAAAGACAATTTTTAAAGCCATTAGTACACTCATCATGGATTTTTAGTGGTAATGCTAACTCTAGCGTGCCTGTAGTAACTATAACCAGTCTGAAGTTTTATAGCAAGCTACAATAATCTAATGTCATTTGCTTTAAACATGGAAACCAGATTGAATGAGAGGCTTTTACAGCCTCAAATACAAACGCGCAGCTAGTGGTCGGTCGTCACCTATAAATACATTGAAATATCCTTCCAGTAATCCATTCATCCACATGCTTCCGCCTATCCTCTTGTAGAGCCATCTATCTATTTATCCATCTTTCTTTCCAATTGGCTATTTATCTACACCTATAAAGAACACAAACCACACATTACTGTGATTTGTTATACCTTTCTATCATATTATGGTAGTTGAAGATTCCATTTAGGCGCTAAAATAAGGCGAAGAAATCCAACTCTGTTTCCAAATGCTTACACATCCTCTGCACTTTGTATGGGATTTTGGCCGGTCTTGTGCCTAAGTTACTTTTGCCTATTATTCAAAGCTGTCGATAGCTTTCTGCTAAACGCTAGAAGCTCCTAGTCCAAGTCTTCGAAATTAACTACATGATCATTTTGAGGGGCTTGGATACTTTGTTTTTTTTACTAGCTCGCTTGGAAAATGCACTTGACTCTCGTCTCTCATTTGACCAATCTTACGAACTTGTTTGAAGCACTTCTAACACTCTCATTAAGTGGATCCTTACCAAAGTGGATCATTTAAGCAAGCCCGTGATTTTATGAGGTTAAATTGTAGTGGTAGCATGTGTCCAACCGACAACACATGGCGGGAGTGGTGACACGATAGGTCACATGGTTCCCCTACTATAAACAACCTTACGCGAACACTTGCGTATAATCCCAACGCTTGTGATGTGGAGGCCGCAGTTCTAATCTATTATCAGCATTTTCTAATGCAAAGTAAGAACTAGGCAAAAACAAGCCGTTTTTTACTGTGAGGTAAAAGTCCCCTTAGGCGCGCACCACACACAGAAGAGGGTGTCAATTGTAGACCGGGAAGGTAAGAATGCAGAGAAACCGCCCCCCCCCCCCCCCCCCAAAGCCACGTAATTGGGCGCGCAAAGGAGCTATTTTGGACACTTCTGTGGGGTTAGTGGGAGGAGAAATAATTTATTTTGACTCTTCTGGGCCAAGTATTTGGCATAACCAAGTTCCCGGCAAATTTGTGCTAAGTCTGTCCAGCGGTATTACAATGGACTAACAGCTCCTCAAATTTGTACATTTAAGAATGCTTACGGGTCTCATACCAACTAAATCCTCTAACAGACAATTTATGGGTTGCATTTGCTAAAAAATAACTATAAATTTCATCGAAAAATGTAACTATGGCTGCAACCTTATTATTTCCCTATGAATGTTAAATCCATCTTCATCCATGGAAAGTAGTGCATTCAGTCCCAAAGTGTGTTTTGCGTTCAGCGTGGTTGCGCATCTAAGAGTAGATGTATAATATATATTTAAGCACTGCTTTAGTTTCCTTGTGTAGAAAATATATACAGTTATTTGAATTAAGTGCCTTCATAATTGTGCTTATTGTAGCTCTTATAAAACCAAAGTATTCAAGGACTTAGGTTTTGCACACGGTATCATTCTCGCTTTACCTGTGTTTGCCTCCTTACGACTACTCGTATTTGATCTAAGAACAGTAGAACAAAGATTCCATTGTATTCTAATTATGGATTTGTATAAATTGGGGCACACCCTTTGCGGGATTCAGCAGCGCTCTAGATCGAAGCGCCTGTGATAAAGATGAATGCGCCGCGTGGAGTGAAGTAATTGCCATCTTTGACAGGTAGAGGTGCGACTATCTTTCAGACAAGGTGGGTATGGTTCAGCGTTTGTAATGCAAAGTTCCAAAAATACACACACAGCTCTGCTAACTCATTTCAACCAGTCAGTAGAAATAAATTTTAAGTTAGTGGGTGAATGCCTTTTACAGGAAACTAACCGAACTTGTTAATGTTGCATAAATCAAACACTAACGAAGGGTAAGTTCGCATCCTCCTCTCTAGTCTTTGACTGGTGATCCCTTAGCTTGGCGTAAAGTACATCCTAAATCGTCTGGGATAAATACATCTTCCTCTGCCTTACGTATTTAAGTGAGTGATGCTAATGGAATGCTCAATTGATTAGGTGTGGCTTTGTTCCACCAAAAAACTCAAAAACAACACCGCATTTTGTAAACTTTTAAAGGGGAACACCGTAGTTTATAGTAGAGGGACGAATGAATGGTTGGATGGGTGGATGGATGGATGAGTTGATGTATGAATGGGCCAAAAAAGTGCCAACACGAAAGCTTGTTCATTTCTTTACACAGCAGCAATAAAAATATTAAGCTTAATGTTCTGGCTGTGAGTCACTTGAATTACCTAAGACATGCATAGTTTTGGCCCGTACTACGCATTTGAGTGGGTGGTGTGGATCAACTGCAGCATCACTACAGTCTGTATGTAGAACCCTCAAAAAAACTTAAAATTTCTAAATTTAAAAACACTTTTTCACTTAATGTCTCGAAAGTAATTTTCAGAAAAGTCAATACTTATGTTAAAAAAGGAAGGTTAGTTTTAGCAGCAATAATTTGCTTTAGTGTTTATGTAGATGGATGAGTGAGCTGTTTAAATTGGGATGAGTGGATGGATGGAAAAACAGACAAATGATTAGATACCTCTCAACTACTTAGTCACCATTTGACCCGGTTGTGTTAGTCACACCAGATTCCCACCCACTTTAATAGACCGATCCTAACACATGAAACTGCAATGCATAGCAATTCCACCGCAGAGAAGTAATTAGTTTTTGACGGGGATCCATATTTTGCCTTTGTATCAGCATTGCATCCCACCACCGAGTCTAAAGACCATGGCATCAACTTCATTTTCGTCACTTGCATGCTGGTGACACTGGCAAGGGCTGGCACAAGCCCCTACAGACGCACCGCCCACGCACTCTTTCGCATGTCGCTACTCTCCCACGCACAGAGATGTTGGCGCTTGCCTAAGTGCGTCTCTCTCACTTCCCCTTCCCCACCTCCACCCCGAGCCCAAGCCCACGCCCATCCCCACCCCCACTTCTCCTGGACTTGAACCATTTACCTCTGTGCTAGGAGGTACTGCCTTCAGCAGGGTGTGGCTCCGCGGTATTCACGTCATGGAAACGTAGCGACAATGGAAAGAATTATTCAACAGCCACAGGGACAGTGATGGCTAAATGCCTTTCTGCCCATACCGTAAGGCGCCGCCTCCACCTACGCCTATTCCATATTCGTCAGAGTGAAATACGTGTGTGTGTGTGTGTGTGTGTGTGTGGCATCGAGAGATGACATGAAGGGACTTTTATGGAATCGCCAATATAGTCTGCAAATATTTATGGACTCATTCATGAAAGTTGTTTATGATTTCTTTAATTTTTGGTTCTAGTTTAAGTAATATTTTAACAACACCAAGTGTCATGGTCCAGTAATTAAATAAGTTGTCGTGTCATGATGATGATTAGAAAATAAATTTTTAATTTAATCTCAGCAAGTCGACTTAAAGTGTGATTGGGGTGAAATAATTTCAATGGATGATGCTTGATAGTGAAACAGACCTTCTACAAAGACATTTGTTGAAACGGAGAGAAACTATTAAAAAGTCCACTTTACGCAAAAAATGCCTTCTAGTATGAAGGTTTACGCACCTAAACAGAGGAATTTATTGCCCTAAATCATGATTAACCAAATTCAAGCATTTTATTAAAATTTCTTTTTTAAGAGGTCTTTTGATAGAAATAGGAAATATAGCCAAAAGGCTCAATGGAAGTGACACGTAGCACATAAAGTGGTCCAATAAGCTAGCAGCAGTATTCTTCAACTAGTGTTACAGTCGTTGAAACGACCACCATCACAATCCACCGTTCTCTCCTAACGACACACAAACTTGCAATTTCCACTCACTTCAGGATGCTTTGTTTCAGCAAG